ATAAGATAACCAAACAAAAACATCGAAACAAAAAAATACAAAAAAATTATATTACAATAAAAAGTGTACGTTACATGACCATGTTAAAATCTATAGGAATATGACGGTACAGAAGCAGCTAAGGCCATGAAAATTTCATGATTATTGATATACTGAACAGTTTTTCTATAATATCAAATCTATCACCATCAACACTTAAAAAAAAATTATTTCATTTTCAACAATAGTTTTCAAAATGTAATACAAAATATCAGATATAAACTGCTAGGTCTGTTGTAGGCAGTAAAGCCCATCTGTGATAATTAAGCAATTTATATACAGTTTTCAAAAGCATTGTGAAACAGACTTCCTGAATGTATATGCCGTGGTATAATTGCTATGTAATACGTAGTGAACGTGTTATTGCAAATGGCGGGTTCTGTTCATACTCTTGAGAGCCAGATTCAGTCACAATGGAGAAATCCAGACTCCCTTGTGGTCCCATTACTATCCTGGTCATGTTTTTATTTCATTTTCACAAAACTGTTTTGTGTGTTTTCTTAAGAAACAGATTACAGTATGGTCAGTGACCATTTGCTCTGTATAGCCATGTTCATGTTTTCTAAAGTAGACTCATATTGATCTATTTTTTACACCAAGCTAAGCAAATTTTCATGCCAGTTTTCCAACTGGCCACAAAATTAGGGAAAGGACCCAAAAAAAGAATCTACGAGATAAGATAAAAAAATATGTTGCTGGTAATCTGTAATAAGTTCATTTAAAATCCTACAATGTTTGAATACATACAAACATATTTACTAATCAGAGCTGGAAATATCATGCTAGTTTTGTTTATCAGATGTTTCATAAAGCTGTTAATTCTGAACTTAATTCAATGACTAGCATGGTAAGATAGGAAATTGAGTAAGGTATGAATGGGTTTGTATGCTGCAGATAACACACAAGAAGACATCAGCACTTGTATAGTGACAAAGATAGGATAGTACAGCATCCCATTATAATGCTTCTGCTCGAGTGACAACTAAACCGGAGCTTTAAATATCAGTTCTCGGGCTGTGCTTCACCGTTACTTTCTAATTCCTTTTCTTAGTAAAGATTAAGAGTTTATATGAACTCTGGCCTAACAGTGCAAACCTACACAGCTTCATTCTACCATAGTTAAAGACCAAATACAGTACAGTATATAGAATTTACAATACACAGATGTATCGTCATACCACTGAGACTTTGTATCAAACGAAAACTTCTCTGATTTTTTACTTCAGATTATAATCAGTTGACAGCAGTGAACAATTAATGTATAGTATTCCTGTATTAACAACAGCTCCAAAAAACTGAAACCCGAGAAAATAACGGAAATGAAATCACTAACCATTAATCAATTAATTTACTCAAAATGGTATAAACAGGCAATGTTTCAAAAAGTCATATGGAATTTCAGTGAATATATATCAATTTTGTCATAAATCATTGCATGCTTGTCAAATTATCTCAATGAAGGTATTTAATGGGTGAGGTGGGAATACAGATTAAGCTATGTGTATACTGTGAATACAGGACTCTCCACAGGCTTCATAAAGATGTTTGTATTAATGCTTGAAGAGCTAGAGGTACTGTCACTGTTTGAACTTACTGACACGTTACTTCATAATATTGTATTATTCTCCTTCCATTGTTATTTTTTTCTTTTTCAATTTCCTTTTTTTTTTTTTTCCAGAATTCTTTTTATCTGATTTCAATGCTACATTAAACAGAGATATGGCTGACGACACTCTAAACGTTTGAATGGTTTCGAACATTTTCATTGTCGTTGGCATGTAATTTTTATACAAAATTGGTAACATCAATTTTTCAGAACTTTCCTTTATATCGCAGAGAGTGTATCTGTTCTGTTAAATGAAAACAGGATTAATGATATTTTATGTATAATAAAATATAAATAAAAATCTTGATGCTGTAACTCAAAGATATCTGAAAAAACTGAAAAGAAAGATTTTTAAAAATCATGATAAAATTTTGTAAAATATCAGTTTATCATTGTTCTAACTTAAAATATGATAAAGTATTAATACCCCCTCCCACCCCCTATGAATAAGAATATATGAATTTTAAAGAAATCAGAATCAGAGTTATTGTGAAAACTTTCAGCAGCCCAAGCAGCTGATCTGTGATACTGTAATATGGTCGTAAATAGAAGCTGTGATTTCTGTTTGGAATGTTAACAAGTATTGTGTAAAGTTACTTTTGTGTAAAAAGTACTTGCGTCATTGATATCTTGCCAGTTATCTACCATTATGACTACTGGGGATGTATTATTAACACACAGTAACTCACAATCATGAAACCAGTGCTAGTAACCCAGACTTTTCCTGAGCTACAGAGCTGGGTAAAAGCAATTGTCCACTCATCTGGACAAATAGATTTGGCTGACAGATGAACAAGTGATTCTCTGACCAAGATCATGCACTTTATTCAAAGCCAGTGTTCCGGGTTAATGAAAGTAAGGGGAAAATCATTGCCAGCTGTATGAGAATGAAAGTTTGGCAGATTTTTTTTACCAGTCTAACAAAGAACACTATTGATTGATTGTAATGGTCTAATCCTTATATCTTAGTATTTTATATCATATCGCTTCACTGAAAACTTTTATGCAATTACATGACTACAAATATAAGGACATGTTGGCTGAATTTTCCATTGATATTATGACCTAGGTACAGATTTATAATATAACATATACATTTTCAGAATTATATAAATTTTCTGGACTAGCAGATTTTTTTCCTGGAGTACAAGTCCGACAGTTACAGAAATAATCCTCAATCCTGTATACACACTGAAATCCAGTCTAAATATCACCCTGTACTTGTTACTAAATACTACATCAACTGAAACTGATTTCCACTTCCATTATCAGTCCAAACTGATTTGTACCTGAATATTCAGTCAGAGGGTCATTTGGAATATCCCTATCAACCATTCATACATATAACAGTGATATATTACACTCTTGAAACATCAGCATAGCAGACAATTTCAAATTGTGTCCATTTATAAGCTAAAACAATTTAACAAATCATCAAAGGAGCCACTATCTAGATATAGGGAACAATGAGGTTGGCCATTTTGATTTCTCATGAGTTTTGCCAGTCATTTTTGGCCTGTATCTTCAAGCCATCGTATAAAGAAAGCACCAGCAAGGCTAGCTTTCCCAGATACTATTACAGAGGCATTGTGTCTCGCGAGAGATCTTTCTCAGTCAGCTCTGCACAACAAGTGTAGAAAAGATTTAGTAACAAACATAAATATTTATAGAAAACACATCTTTGTAATTCAATAGAACTGTGATGGGAGGGACCCTTGGGAGGATACTCACTCAGATAACATCTTTTTTCTCCCCCCTAGGAAACATTACAACACAAACATCAAGTCTATCTAAAACGCTTCACAATGCAGTAATGATCAATTCCAATGTACAGATCAAACAGTCATTTTAAAGATAAGAAAAATATTTCCACACTATTAGCTGTAAATATAGGTTATTTTCCATTCTCCTAAGTGAGAAGAGTACAAATTCCTCCTTGGTGAAATCAAACATCGAGGCAGGTATACAATTTAGAGTCACTAAAACAAGTACCGTATAACGTACATTATTTTACTATTAACATTTTTCTTGGTATTACTTAGATTGCTTTCTAGCTTGAAGCATGAAATGTAAGTTAATATTATCATGTTCTCAGAAATATTAGTCACCATGGCGATATGGAGGAAAAAAGTTGTATGTCTCCTAGGGATTTGTAATTAGAAGGCGAAAGTCTATACACACCTTCACCGTCAAACCCAAAGGACATACTTCAAATTGTCGCTGAAAATTTCAAATTTGTTGCTTTTAATTCTACAGCAGCTTTAAAAGGTTTTCTCAAGCTCAGAACTTGAAAGTTGAGCTTAGTGACAAACGATTAAAGTTGGAAGACGACACGTACAAAGAATAGACATCATTTATGTATCCAGGTGCTGAGAACATTTTCTGTATACGACCCTGTGCCCTTATCAATATTTGATGAGGACAATCTACTTAGTTTCTGTGAAATGTGCATGCAGTTCGGCTACGTGCAAGTTATAACGGACTCCTGATATATGTTAACTGCATTTCCTGAGTATCTTTAGAACTCCTTAAGGAGACAGATATAACAAGTCAAACATAAATACCATTTTAAAGAACTGCACAATGAGGATTTTGTTCACCTTTTTTCCTGTAATTTTCCATAGTGTTGCTGAGAGAAGCATTTACACTTGTTCCATTAGGGCAGAGTAAAGTGCATCTCAATTAGCTGAGTACTCACACTGATAGGGTCAGTATCGGGCTTTACTATCATCCTCCGAGACATAAATTTAATGAAAAATCTACAAAATAGCTATTAGCTTTCCACCTTGTGACCATATATGGGTCTAAACTGCCTTTAATCTCAATCGTAATGGGTCTTGTTGGTCTCCAGCATATTAAACATGATCACAGTAAGATACTTCGTCACTAATATCATACATTCTGATTTTTATCATCACAGATTATATATTTCTTCATCATCGTGAAGAAAAATGGAAATCACCTCAGGTCATACAGTTAAAACAGTTAGTTTTTACTAGTTCTACTTTTATCAATGACCTTAAGTGTGTTTTAGAATTTCTTAAGTATGTCCAGTATAAATAGAATCAAATCACTTTTCAATATCTCTGAAGATCAACCACACAAGCAACTTAAGAAGAATATTTTTGCTTTTAACTTTAGCCTAGTAAGCAATTGAAGAAGAATTTCTTCAAATTTTAGCCCATTAAGCAATTGAAAAAGAATTATTTTAACTTTAGCCCAATTAGTAATATAAGATGTCACATTATTATAAGAACTTTCATTCAATTCCTTTGTGTGGCCCGTATTTATGATGTTTACAAAAAGTATCAATCCAATAAGAAAATAACCTATATTTCCTTTCTTTTATTTTCAGCAAATTCGGTCAGCAAATATCACGGTTTTCTATACAAGCAGAAGGATGACACAAAAATACTTCCGATTTATGATCTAGACGGCTGGATAGCAGGCATACAAACAATGGTAAGTCATTCTGTTTACTCCAAAACTGACGTTCCTATTCTTCATTATACCATGAGAAGTAATTTCTATTGAGTGTATGGTGATAACATATTGAGAGGGGGAGAGTGGTTTAATTACCTATTTATTTATTTAATAAATATTCAAAGAAGTTCTAAAGCAAATTGAAACAAGGTTTATGAAGTAATAGAAAGACTACAGGGGCTACATGATCAGGTTAAATGTTAAAGTAGACAAAACTACCACAGGTATTCCATTATAGGTATCCCAACATATCCAACCCTTAATAAGTCTTGGTCAATGAAAGAAAATTTTTTCTGTTCACTGAACTTTCTTATGTTCCATAGACATCAGATAAGGTCAATCTCATAATGACCGGATATTATTCAGGGAAAACAACTCTTATTCAAGTGTTCCTGATCAAAATAAACTACAAAGAAATAGCCAATCAACAAGTGAAGAGTTTAAGGAAACCTAATCATTGAAGCCTGGTCAGTGCTTGGATGGGCAATGTCAGTCAAATTGTTATACTGCAAGCACATGTCTCCAGCAGAAGTGACAAAAGATTTCCCTGATGCTGATGGGTCTTACATACCCTAACTTCCTGTTTGTTGTCAAGAAGAGCAGGTGCTAACTTAAGAAGGTGATTGACAACACACTACTAGACATGATCTATTATTGCAGTCCACCTTTCTTGTTCTTTAAACTCATCATGGGTGTAATGTTGACCTGTGACGTACAGATTACACTGACTGCAGCTGTTCCAGGTAGTGATACATTGACCACTCCTTGTTATTACAGCTGTGTTTATATTCAGGAAGTGTCCACATAATTCATCGTGCCTAAAAATGCCAGATTTACTAATCAACTATAGAATTATCTAAATTATTTATGTACAGGAATTTTATGTCTTCTGATATAACTCATAATGTCATTCTTTGACTAATTTGTTTTTAACGTCTTCCTGAATATTTTCAATATAATCATACATCACCTCTATCTGTCATTACTAATTACTGAGAGCTATCAGCTAAAAATGGTGAAATGAATCCCTACTTTGAATTATTATGTTGATTACAAAATTATTCAAAATCCAGATATCCAAATGTGATTTATATTTTATCCATACAAGTGTAATGAGACTGCTATGAACATCTCTTTTCTTCATCAGAGCCAATATTTCATTTTGTACCTTTTGTTAAACACTAGATCATACAGCATTTGTTCTACCTTCTAGCTATTTAACACTACTTCAGCTGAAATATATCAGGCATCCAACAGTTGCCCAGCTTATTAACCTAAACTAGTGTTGCTTCTGTATAATTTTACAAGGAATTTCATAAATAAATAAAACTAATTAAGGAGTATAAAGCCTTGTTACACCATCAGCCAAACAAATATTTGTTTATCAGGGTGATTCTCCGCTGCTATTGTAAAGAGTCTAGTAGCCTTCTCTCTATCAAGCAATCTCTCAAATTGAATTTTCTGCTCCAAATGCTTCAGAAAATTATCCAGGAAAATAGCCTGTAGAAAAATTTACATTTTAATCAAGAGTTTTACTGATTTTCTGGGAAATTAAACAAATGAGTTACTGAGAAGCTTGTTTCCTTGCAGCAATGGATTTTTTTTTATATTACTTTAATTCAAGTCCTAACAACATCATGTAATTTGATTTTTTTCATTCAAAGCTATAAACCATAATTACAGAAACTGTACACCACTATCTCTACAGCCTTTTTTTTAATACAATCTAGAGCTCATATCATTGATTATAACTTTTCACATAAAACTTCTAAATAGAAAATAATTTGAAAAAGTTGTACTTTTTAAAATTTAAAATGTGAATGTCTATTATGAATCAACACAATTATACATATGTTTATTTTCTCCCAGTCTTTATCCATCCCTACATATTTTACTCCTAAATATCCCAGTCTTTATCCATCCCTACATATTTTACTCCTAAATATCCGAGTCTTTCAGTAGATTTTATGTGTTTGATATAGATCATTAATAAAACATGGTGGTAGTAGCCATTAGTAGGATGACACTCTCAATAACACCTGATTCCATGGTAACTTATGATATGATACCTTTGAGAATCAGTGGTAACAGCAATTTTATCAGTATTTTAGTTCTAAGAACTATAATCCTACTCAAACAGTCAAAATATATTTTTTATTTTTATTTTGTAAAATCTTACTGCATTTCTTTTAGCCAGGCATTGCATGACAACAGCACATTCACCTTGTATTCACACTTACTAAAACTAAGTCTGAATGGCGTTTCACACTTTAGGAAGTTTCCACTGCAAAAAGCAGATGGCTCCCTTGATGGCCTGGAATATACCAATAGGAACGCTCCATTTCTGACATCAATATAGCCTTCCCTTTGGACAGTTTAGTAGTCAGCAACCGCAACCGTGAGAAGCCTACAGGAGCCGCAATCTTCAATCACACAAATTAATTAGAAAGTGTATCGTACACACTGAAATATACATATAGCACCCAAGGGAACAAGATTTCATTTTGTTTGAAATTAAAGTCTATCATTGTGGACAAAAACGAAAAAAAATAAAGTACAACCATACACAGTGCTTCAGACAACCAAGCATAAAATTATCATGGCATCTCATTTTTGGCATATCAATCACCAATATCTATCTCTCTTCATCAGACTCACACAGACGTAAATTTTTCATTTTCCTAACAACAAAATGGACATGATATCAATTTAACAAGATGATACATCAAGTATCAAAATAACCAAAACAAGTTTTTTTTTTTTTTTAAATCAGTGTAGAGAAAAAAAATACGAAACATACTGTAACTGATATCGATAAATTTTGTACCTAACAATATCAACCAGAGGCGTCCAAAGAACCCGTACAAATGATGTCCATGATGGGAGCATAAAACACAAAAACTGCCTGCCTAAACTACTGGCTGTCAGATCCGATCACCGCTGTAATACAGTGACTTATCAAACATCACAGCTACATGAAGCACCCATGCATCACCGTGCTCAATTATGCCATGATTAGACTATATTTTTGTATTATATTGTACGACTTGTTCTACCACAATTCTAGGTATTTGTCTGTGATGTGATGTAATTGTGCAGCAATTGCTCATAATTGAGACCAAAAATAATGGACGAGAAATGCAAAAACACAATCTGTCCCTCGATATATCAAATTTTCAAAGAAACGTCTCTTATGAAATTAGGCTGAAAGGTATTTGTGATGAGTTAATGAAATTTTCATGCACATGACATAAATCAAAATTTAGGATTACCTTTTTTTCCTGTATTTTTGTTCCTTTTTTATATCTAAGATTATGAATTTATTAGTTTTCTAACTAATCTAACTAGCTTGATATTTTCCAATAATGTATGCACATCTACATAACATCTTCATATTACATTATAAAACAGCAATCTTATTACCAGCTTGATGTCTTCCGAAAATGTTTCCACGTCTATATAAGATATACTACAATATAATAACAGCCACTTCAATAACTACAAAGTTTACTTCTGACATGCAGATTTCAATATAGCTATAAAGCATATATCGTACACCATTCCAAAATCTTTCCTTTTTTTTAGGAAACTTTCTCTCCAAAAGAAAATTTGTACTATTACAGATATTTTCCAGTAACTGGTTAATTTCCAGTAAACTGTACACAGATCAATCCCCAATTGACCACAAATGATATCCTCAAATAAACAAATGTAATATGCTGCCACATTGACCAGATAAACGAAGTAAATCAACCATGCTGGACTTAATTTATCCTCTTCAATCCCTGCAAGTAAATATTCATAACTTGTTTATCTAAATAGAAAGCAGAATGTTAGCTGACCACTTGGGGCTAAAATAACTGGCCCTTCTACATATTAAGTTAATTATTCTCCTCCTGAAAATCCATATACTCTCTATTCTGCGTTATTGATTAGATGAGTTATCCCATGTACAGGAAGATGAATCAGTGAATATGATGTTGCTAGTTAGTTTTAATACTTGTTTATCAGCTATAACTTATGGCATGGTTTACAATGATAATTGTACGTAATAACACACTTAATACATAAGACAAGAAAAACACATGCATTATTCAACAATTCAAGAGATTGGTATAAAGATATGTTCACATCATGTGTCTATTCAACCACACCATTTTACAAATCTTTGTGAAGGAGATTCCTGGGTAACTTTCCATTGCAAAGCATGAAATGAGCTCAAAAAATTTATATAATCATTATTTTCCCCTCTCTCCAAGAAAGAACAAGTGTAGATTGGACAATATTTTAACTCCCTTTCAAAACAGAAGCTTTCAAACAGAGTCATTTCAGGAATTTCTTTGAATAAAGAATGTTTGTTAAACTAGTGCCCTCATGCTCAAACGAAGGCACTTAGTCTGCATGCTAAAGGTCTTGGTTGCCTATACTTTTGTGCAAATTCCCTGATGTTGACTTATCTGTGCTGAAATGCTGTTTCATGGGATTTTTTTTTTTTTGCATAGGCAACATGTTATGGACCCGAGCTGTTAATGGTGATAAGCCAGAACAGTCAAGTCCTTCAGGTCATTGTCATTCTTCAGGATTTCAGAGAGAAAAGGAAAAAACCGCTTTGCCAATTTCATTGTAAAAGGATTTTAGTCAAAGTGATAAAAACAAAAAAAAAATCAAGAAAAAAATCTTAAATGGAAGAAACTATCTCTGATTGGAAAGAAAATTAACACCTATTATGAAATTTTCTTAAACAAATTCCATTGGTCTGTACAGATGTCCTGGAGATTTTTACAGACCATTCATTCTGGCTGGTGTTAGTGGTAACTGCAGTCCATTACCTTAATTGTCTGACAGGCAAACTTAGAGGTGGAAAGAAGGAAGAGTTCTCAGACCTCCGGAACTCCTCCAGGGATAAAGGGACGTTCTTTTGTGTGAACATGTAGCACTACTTCCCCATTTGGAGGAATCTTCTGCATTAGATATATTCA